AAGACAAAAAATAAAAAGAGATAAAAGAATAAAAAGAAATAAAAGAATAAAAAGATAAAAGAAATAATGATCAAAAGAAAGAAAAAAAGGCTAAGGGTAAACAAATAATTTTTCGAAAAATTTTGAAACTCGTTTATAGGGTACAAAAGATATCTTTGAGGTAACAAATATCATATAATCATTAATAATTATTTATTTGTGTAAAATTACATGCATATATCGGTGTAATCCGTTTAAGATCCGAAAAACTTAAGTCGGTTCAAGATATAATAATTAAGCAGCTAACAATTTAGATAAAATCTCTTTTATCTTGTTTGTGAAATTGTCAACAACGTCTTTGATTGACATTTCAATATTTTGCGAACCTATTGCATCTATTTGATCATTTCCAGTGGGCACGTTATAAAATGCGTTGACATATAATGGCAACGCAGCACCCTCTTCATTTTCAGATGATGTTGGACTTTCTAAGTTATATAAACCAGCACCTACTAGCATGTTGAACAAATCTTGTAATTTGATCATTAAATCTTTTGTTGGGTCGTCCAATGCTTGAATAAGAATCTCCATAGTGATGTTTCTTTGAATTCTTACTTTATGGTGCATAGGGTCGTTACTTTCAAGATCGGCATTACCCAAAGGTAATTTACGCTTTGGTCCACGTTTTTTTGGGGACGCATCAAAGACGCATGAAGTGCCTGAGCTCGTGCATTCTTTACACTGTGGCCCTCCAGAGCACTTACAACGTTTTTTTCGACACTCATAGCAAGCGATTTTCACATACTTTGTCTTCCGAATGACAGTTTTTCCTTCACTCTGACAATTTGTAGATTCTAGATTGGTTTCAACTATTTGAATCATCTCTATATAGTATGGGATTATATATACTATTATATGTAATCTTTCTTATCAAAAAAGGTTTCTGAATTTCGAAATATAATTTTTTCTGAAGACGGATTGATATGTTTATCTGCTATTGATTGTTTATCAGTCTTGAAAAAAAATTCTTTCGACGATTCACTTGTAGATTATATACGGGATTTTTTATAAAATTTAAGGAATATTCGGATGATTTATAAAGTTTTATTATACAATAAAGTTGACAGATCACATCTATTTGATGAGATTAATCAAATCTGATGGAGATGGATTATTTACTTTGTATTTGTTTTTTTTTTATATTAATAATCTAAATTGGCCCGGGTTCAAATATATTTACTCATATATGAAACATCGTAACCAGCGACTCGAGCATGATTTAAATCAAGTAATTAAATTCATATTAATTGTGAAACCTTTAACTGGAATGATTCTTAAAATATTTTGTTTATAACGTTTTTTGGAAGATTATACGTATGGGGTATGTTACTGTAGTTTTGAGGCTTTATTTGCTTTATTTGTCCAAAATTGTTCTCACAATCAAAAGTTCGTGTGAAAAGTCTGATAATCGAAATGACAGATGACTCCAATTCAGTCATTATCCGATCTTCAGATATGCTTCTTATCTGATCATCAGATACGTATGCTTCTTATCCGATCATCAGATACGCAATTTTTTTTTATTAGAAGCAGTATATTTCATAAGGTTTAACTTATTGCCACAAGATTTCTTGCTTTCTTGCCGTTTTCTTTTTTTTTACCCGGTGACTTTCTGGCAATAGATTAAAAAAGTCATTAATATATAAGAAGCATTTAAAAAAAAAAAAAAAGCAAGAAAAAAGGATATATAGTCAAAAGGGGATTTCGGATCAGTCCGAATTCAAGATCTGGCAATAAGTATAAAAAAAAATAAGATGAATGCAGCTGTAGTATTAATCATTTGACCTTTATGTAGACATTTTTCGGATTCAGCATTACGATTATATTTGCGTATCATTTACTAAATTTAATCACCAATTGGAGTATTTTTCCTTATTTCCCCGGAATACAAAACATTTTGTTATTGTGGTACATACCGGTTAAGATGTAAATTGATTCTGAAAATTACGATTATGGAATTGCTCATAACCGATTTAGAATTGATAATTGAGTCTTAAATAAATCTGCGATTTGAGATTACTAAAAAAAAAAAGAATAATTTCTAATTTCTGATTTCCTTATGTATTATTTAGACCATAGATTGGGTTTTAATATTTCATAAGACTTGACAAAATATAATGTGTTACAAAACAATGACGGTTAGAATTTTTATTATAATTTAATTTTTTTGTAAACTTATATTTTGTACGTACGTAAAAAATTGAATTAGAAATGTTTATCTATATACATATATATTGATATTTTTTTTTAAAGAGAATGCCTATTTTCATTATGAAAATTACCAATTCCACTATGTTTTCACATGACTTTCAGCTATATAAACATGTCAAACATAAATTACGTCAAATGACAGAAATAGTAAATTTCATAGTGGAAATAGGTGTTTCCTTTTTTAAATTACCGTTAAAATTACCGTACAGCGGAGTAGTGTTCCGACCCGTCACAAAAATCCCAACCCGGGTCACTCGCAGGTGGGTCACCCGGGTGGTAAAAGAAATCCTGCAACGGGTCACCCGCGGGTGGTCATCTGGATCACCCGGGTGGTAAAAGAAATTCTGCAAGGAGAGTTTGTCCTCAACAACTAATTAACAAGAATAAATTGTAGAATTCATGAAGTTGAGTAGCTTATTTAAATACTTAGATTAACGTGCTAAATTAATGCGACTGATAAAATTAAATAGTAAATTAAATAGTAAATATTCATTAATGTAAATAGTTGATTAATAAATTCTTTATGCTCATGCACTAAATGTGAATGGAATGAATATTAATATAAATAAACAGTATATTCTTTATACTCACGTACTAAATTAAATATGTAGTAAATCTTCATGAACTTGGGTAGCTTAATTAAAATTGTTATCTGCTTGATGTCCCGGTTCGAGCTATGTTGTGATGTGGATGTGGATTCAAGTCATGGCTGGAACATGATTTTCTAATGACTAAAAATTTGGCATGCGTCAATAATTTGATCCATGGTTAACTTTAAGCAGTAGCTCAACTACAGTATTATTGTCTTGGCTTCATTCTGCAAAGCACTTCTAAGCTTACACTGTTCTTATAAATTCTGGAACAACTAATAAAAATTGACCGATGATTATTCGGCCGAATTCGATATGTTTTTGAATTCGGTATTGTTGGCATCGGATTTTCAACATTAAAGTAATGCTGGCAACACCAAATTCAAACTCCGGTCGAATAATTATCGGCCAGTTCTTATCAGTTGACAGCTGTAATGCACATATTCACATTCTAAAATAAATCATAAATATCTAACCTGGGTTATCCTGGTATAAACTCTACTCTTCTCTTCTTGTATGTTATAATGCTCGCAGTGATTTGAGAAAAAAATTCTTCCGGCGGGTGAGCCGTGGGTTGACCCACGGGTGACCCGCGGGTTGATTAAAGTCTAGCATCACCACCCTAAAAAATTTCACTAACTATGTGATCTTATTAAAAAAAAAAAACTGTTTCGCGATTGTATTGGTTTAAAGGGCTATAGTTATAGTAAAATTTCACGAGGAAAAATTTTTGTTAGTACCCAGAAGGCAATTTCATAGGCAAAATTTAAGCTACAAGCGTTTTTTGGTTGTTTTGATTTTTCTGCGCTTCTTTTACGTTACACGTGATCTTGAAATCTGATTGGCTAGTGAAATTAATTAGGGTGGTGATCTAACTGCTGTTCGGGTTGATCACCCAAGTGATCATAACTCAACACGGTACCCGCCCACCTGCGGGTGACCCGGGTGACACCTATCCGGGTGGGAACACTACAGCGGAGATTCTTTTAGTACTCCGCAAAATAAAATCAAATTTTTAATTTGATTCAAATATTTGAAATTATTTGATCAAAATTTTAACTAAACCAACATTAGATATAATTTTTAACAAAATTAAAAACTTTATCTGTCTAATTAGATACAAAAAACTTACACCCTGACAAATCTCATCATTATTTAACTTAACTAAACTAACACTAGATATTAGGGTTGTTAATGGAGTACTCCAAGCTATAATAAAACATATTAACCACTCCAGTTTAAAACTGGTGTGGTTTATATGTTTTATTATAGCTTGGAGTACTCCATTAACAACCCTA